GCCACCCCTGGAGCTGCGGGCGAGGCGCGGCCTGCCCTCGAGGAGTGGGCCGGTGCGGTGCAATCCCCTGCCCTCCCCCGTCGGTGTGCGGTGGGAAGGGGCCCTTCTTGTCAAGGAGTGATAAAGAGCATCTTCCCGCAGCAGACACTTAGAACTGACTGAGGACGCTAATCCACTCGAGGAGAGGATAAAGCCCGGCCGTGCTAAGCGCTTAAGTGCCAGGCATCTCCTGAGAGGCTTCTCACGTAGTAATTTCATCTTTTAAAATTATGTCCGCAGGCTTCCACATCTGCAACGTCATTTCTTAAGGGCAGGGATAACTAGTTGAGCTTCACATAGTGTGTTCAGTTCACCTACTGATAGGAGGCAGCTTCTATCTGGTTTTGAAAAGCTGTATTCCTGCTTTTAACAGGCCTAGCTGAAAAGGCCCAGTGGAGGAAGTAGAGACAGAGGTAGGTTGTGACCCAGAACTGTTTGGTGACCCATTAAAGTTGTGACCCAAATCAGACTCTGGGTCAAAGACACAGCAAGCAAGAATACAAAATATTCTCCCACACAGGTATACATAGTTTTCTCTTAATGTAAGCTGAAGTCAGTATTCATTCCCTCATGTAGGAGAATTAACAGTTCGTATCCTTACCAGATAGTGAACATGTAGCTGTCAGTATCATGTAATGCTCTGTGTGGTGATGTAACTGGCAAACAGAGTCATGTTCTGCATTAAACGTGTAGTTGTGGAAATACTCCTATTTCAATTAGAGGAATGTGGATAAGTGAACTTGATTTTTATTCTGAAAGTTCCTAAGCTATCTTCTTTGTGCTTTGTCCTGTTGTATGTTTGAAGTTATTTTGGCCTTTTATTTGTTATTTTTTAATAACGATCATCTTTCTATTTACACAGAGTCATGTTTACATAAAACACCAAAGAGATCATTGAGTAGGAAATCCCGAATACCTACTTTCAGCTCTCCTGTTAATGACACCGATATACAGCAAGAAATATTTTGGGATCCTCATTCACCAATTGCACAAAGACTAGGTAAAATAAACAAAACCCAGGCCTCAGGGCACCTATTTAAGGCATGCAATGGGACTTTGCTAAAAGTTACAGAAATTTCTGGGAAAAGGGGCCCTTCTTGTTCTCATGGTTTGGTTGCTTGGGTTTATTTTTATTAAAAACCCATAAATTCTTCAATATAGTGCTGAATCGGGCTCTGATTTTAACACCTGTATTTGAATTATTTGAAGTATACTGCACTTTATAAATTGAATTGGTTTGCATTTTTTAAGAAGGTTTTTTGTTTGTTTTCATAGGCAATGGAAAAACCAAACGGTCTACTGGTAGATGCGCAGTAGAAATTTCAGAAATTGTTAATCGTATTGCACCTCAGGTAATTGTTTCGTTCTAAAACAATGCTCTGCATCTGCAGTAATCAAAACAAAATAATGCTACAGTCTTAGTGAAGTCCTACTTTTAGTTACAGTAGTCTCATGGTAAGAGTTGGGTGTGTAGAAACCTAGTAACATGTTCATAAAACTGGATTGAATTAAAATCATGAGCATAGCATTTGACTGGTTGCTCTTATGAGTCACAGATGCTGTAAAAAAGGACGTATTAAGAAAGTGGACGTGCAGCAGCTCCATTTTAGAAAGCTTTACATTCAGAATACAAGTTATTGCCCCTGTCTTAGGAATACTGTTGTGTTTATTTATTCCTAATCACTCAACTGTTAAAAGGTAAGAGTTTCTTCACATACTGGATTTACTTGGAGTTGTTTTTAAGTATTTTGAATTGTCTTGGCTGACTGCTGAAGTACAAGCACAAGGCTCAGATGAGAGACTCCACAATAATATAAACATAGTAACATTGCTTTGTTTTTCTAAATAATTTGCCTTTTTATCCTGAGATCTATGCTTCTGGTGTCTCTCTCTTGCTGTGAACCTGATGTCCACAGCCTGGAAAGTGAAAATAAGAGTGCTACCTTATTGATTGCTTTTTATTAAGTGCAAGAGAACGTGTCATTCCTAAAGCAGTTCTGTAGTATTTATCTGGCAAAATATGCCTGCTTATTTGACAGACCCATTTAAAATGTATTCACTGTTTGGCATATTTGTGACGAATTATACTTAAGAATTGGAAAATCATTGATAAGGGATGCCACTTCCTTCTTTTTAAATGATTACAGCCCTGCTGTAAATAATACAAGGATTTGCAACTATCTGTTTCTCATGGGTTTTTCTTAAAAAAAAAAAAAAAATTTACAAAGAAAAAGAAAACCTGCCTAAAACTATCTCTTCGGTTTCAGAATTCAAATCCAAGCCTGACCTTTGAAGCTCCAAAACAACTTCATTTAGTTTTTAAACTTCACTTATTTCTTTTCACAGGCTCCTTGTATAATTGAGTTGTAATGAAAGAAGTCAGTTTTTTTCCTAGAACTATACAGAATGTGATCTGCAGATTCTCTGATCTGTTAATGCTGCTTTAAGTGGATAAACACAGTACATCTTGGCTACCTCCTTAGTAGTATACCAAACTAGATCACAGTTTGTAACGTGAATATTGCAGATTATGTGTAAACCTAAAGTAAACAGAGTATTAGATTTGAGCACCGATGTAAAACTGTTATTTTAATTAAAGTTCTTGTTTTAAATTGATGTTATTAAAGTGATACAACTATCAGGAGACAGTGTTGCAGTTCTTTTACTAGACTTGTATTGGTTTAGCTCATATCTGTCTTTCAACAGATTTAATCTAGTTTAGTTGGTTTAGTAACTAACTAACACAAGGTGTGTCTAGTCCAATCTTTATCTGAATTGCTAAGCATTATAAATCTAATCATTCAGGATGAAAAAGCAGCGTGTAATGAAGGCTCCCTTTTAGGGACGTGGATTGGTGAGGATGCTATTCCCTGTACACCTGGAGCAGTAAAAGTGAGAGCTAGGACAAAGTTAAGTTGTGCAAGGTAAGTTACAGTTTTGTCTTGCCCCTCACAGCTTGGCTTTCATGAAAAAACGTATGTGCTGTTCCTTTATGTATAGTGAAGCATGTAATTGTACATTAGCATACAGAATGCTTTTAACTTTGGGCTTGTTATCTCTTTTTAATGGAGTATTTCTTGGGAATTACCAAAAAGATTGCATGCTGACTGCACACTGAAAGTGGTGGGATTCAGTCATATTCTCTGTAGGTGTTAAACTAGAGAATGAAGAGCTCATATTGTGTTATTGAGCTTGGCTAAACTTTCTCAGTAGGTCTGACTTTCTTTTCTGTATTTTTTTTCTTTAATCTAGGGACCTTAAAATAAAAAATCCTGAAGAGGAACTCATGAAATTGGCTAAGGAATTTGATAAAAATCTAGTAGAGCTAGATGCTGTTCAGGAACAAGAGAAGCTTGGTCATGACTTCATTCAGACCACCTCAGAGTCTCTAAATAATTCTGAAGATGAAGTAAATACAAAGAACCTGAAATCACTCCTTGGTCAAGTTTCTGAAACAGATACTGCTCTGTCCCTGAAACCAGTTGGCCAGAGCACTGGCATCCCTGCTGCAGAGCACTGTCAATCTAGCAGTCAAAAGTCTATAGACCTTGAGGCTGAAATAGCCCTTCATGCTCTTTTTGACTGCTCTACCCAGAAGTGTAGTGGACAGTTGAGCCAAGGACTATCATGTTTAAATGACAGTTTCCATGAAAGTAAAAGCACCTTGGAGGAGGAACACCTTCCTGAGCAAATTAAAGACATGCAACAATGTAATTCAGAGGCACTGGGAAATGTGAACCAGACTTTTCTAAAACCTGATACTCGCACATTGACAAAAAAAAATCCCTCTTCTTTGAAGACACAGTCGGTGGTCTCCAATACTCATGCTGGAGTAGTTAATGATGACTTTGATGACTGGGATACAGACTTTTTGGCAGATGACTCTTTTGTGATACAAATAACCCAAAATCCTGAATTGAAAAGTACAGAAGAAGCACCAATTCCTGCAAATCCATCTGTGCACTGTTTCAGTGATGCTAGCAGAACAAAGGAAGGGAGTAGTTGCAATTCAGTAACTTGTTTGGGGAGTGTACACAAATCTAACAGTTTGCAGTTTTCACCTTTGAAACATTCTAGTAAAAACACACGAAATGTTGTAAAATCTCTTTCTTTGCAAAAGCCATATAATACACAGAAGTCAAAGACAGAGACCATAGTCTTTCATGGCAAATGTGATGTCAAGCCAGGTAAAATAAATTCTGTTTGGAAAAGTGCTCAGAACAGTGATTTGAACTATACTGCTGTTTCAACACAATCTGAAGTGAAGAATGGAAATGAAGCTATTCAGTGTAAAAGTTACCCTCTTCCTATTTTTCCTTCAAGATCTAATCCTCATAGACAATGGACTGAAAAACCTGGGGATAACACACACAGTATTTTCTGTCAATCATCCAGTGTTTCTACCAATATGAAACCTAATGATCTAACTAAAGTGGTTAACCAGGCTAATACAGGTCGCTCAAATCAAGTTGAAATACTAAAGAAACGTCCTCTGTCATTTGATGACTGTAATGAACCAAAATTCTCTGATGAGATATTAGATATGTTTTGTGAATCCGATAGTCTTTGGGATGCAAACTCTGAGGATGATGAATTGTTGTATCAGGTGTGTGATGATATAGAAAAGCAGACGCAGAGCCAGGATGTTAAACAAGGATATGAAAGAGCTAAAACTATCCAAGGAGCCAGTATTAATTCCAGATCAAATGCTGATAACAGCTTCCCAGCATCTAAACAAGGACTACCTGATCTCCTCTTGGCACAAAAACCAAGTGCAAAACAGGATGCTTTCTCACTAAATGATTCTTGTAGGACTTCCTCAAAGATTACACGTGGGCTGACCATAACAGGTCACATAGTGAACTGTAAAAATGGTTCAAGTCCTCTTACTGTGATCTCGAGTACTTCCATGGACTGTAAATACACACTGTCTAAAAACTGTCATCAAGCTGCTTCTGAAGATTCTACAAAGACTCTTTTGGGAAAATGGTACAGGTCAAATTCTGTGCCAGCAGGAGAGACTGGTTCTGAAGTAAGTCCTGTTAATGCATTAGATGTTTTTAGTAGCAAAATACCAGACAGCCCAGATCTTTTGTATAATATGGGAAAAATGTCAAATAACAATTCTGGTAAGAAAACATCACTTATGCCTTCAAAGTTTAAGTTCAAAAAGACTAACAATTCTCAGGGTGCTCTTCATGTAGGGTCCGAAAATGCAGAGAGTCATTCTGGCATTGGAATTACTCTGCAGGGTTTGGAAGGAAGCAAGAATCATGTGAATGTGACTTTGCACAGCATGCTTGACAATAAGAAACCACCTTTCAAGAGGCATCTTTCAGAGTCTTTTGCACTGCCTACATCAGGTATTTGTCTGTACTGTATCACTATTAAACTGTGTTTATTTTCTTACTGTAATCCGAATGTCAGAGAAATTTATACTGTGTTTCAATTTACAGTAGGCTTCAATATTCATTCAGTTTAGGCATTAGTAAATGTTCTAATGAGAATTTGGATTTATTTTCTCCAAAATAAAATTGTAGTGACACATCTTACGAATTTCTGTAGTTAAGGACGTATGTTTCCCATTTTCATTTCACTTCTTCGAATGCTTTACCCTCTCTCTCCATAGACACTCAGAATCACTATGATCAAGGATAGGCTGATGGTAGCACTCAGCAGACCATATTCTTAAATTGTTACTTAAAAACACTACTATTTTGATACACAGTAAATACTGTAGTTTGAATCTGTGTTTTAATTTGGTGTTCACTTTGAAAAAAAAATTAAATTTAGCCATAATTTGTAAAACCCCAGTTAATGGCAGGGCAGGGAAAGAAGGAAGCAGGGGATACAGAATGCCAGTTTCTTTTTATTATTGTACACCTGGAAATTGGAACCTCAGATCATTCAACGTTTCTGAAACCTTGGCCTATATTGTTGTTTGCTCTGTAGCTAAAATTGCCAGTGAAATAAATAGTCTTGTGTTATCAGTCTAAACACTAACATTTCCTTTCATCTAGAGGGGAGGTCAGTCACTTTTCCATCATCAAGTGACAGTCTGTAATATTCCATGCACTGGTGTTACTTGCTAGGGAAGTGCAGAACCAGCAAGTTACAGTCAATCTTGTTTTTACTTGATGTCATGGCTTGGTGAAGTTTTAATCAATGTTAATTTTGATAAAATGTGCATTTAGAGTCTACTGTATCAACCTCAATTTTCAGGAAGCACTATTACAAAAACACGAACACATTAATTCTTGCAAACCATCAGCCAGCATTATTTGAAGAACCAGTATTTTATCTGTGTTTCTTCCCCAGCAAAGAAGCAGATAAATGGAAAATACAAATTTTGGATGTTAAGGGAGAAGGGAGGGGACAGGTAGCTCATCATTCCACATCTGTGGAATGTTCTAGAGAATAAAGAAGGAAAAAGAATAGCATAGATTTTCTTTACAGATAAACAACTGTTCTCATCTTAAATTTTTGGTGAAAGGACACTGCTGTAACAAAAAGATGGACGTTAAATGATCCTTTCAAAAAGTGATATGTAATTTTTCATGGACTTTTTTTTTTTTTAGAAGCAAGGAGACCCTTTGTTTTATTTATCCACTTTGAAAGACTACTTATTAAAAATTCATTAATTGGAAATAGGTGTATAAAACTGTAAAATTCTTGACATGTGCAGGGAGTGCTCCTGTTGGTTCCAGTGAGGTCAGGATTTTATTGTATGGGAATTTATAGTTCTGTAACACAAGATATAAAGTATTACACTTAGCTATCATGTTCTTGTCTCCTTTGCCAATTTTTATTGCCACTTTTGACCTTTTTTTCAACCTTTCTGGTTTTATTTGTGTGACACCTGTACTGTATCTGACCCCTATGTCTATACCATCTCTATGCCCATATCTCTGCTTGACTCACTAAATTGTAGAGCCCTTTTCACTCTGATAGCCTTAATTTTCTTAACCCATCACCATCTCCTGTGTTGACTCCTGATGTCATAAGGTTCACTTGAAGGGCAGCCAAGTAAAATTTCCTTGAAGCAAATGTCTGCATCCCAGTATTTTCATTGGGAGGTAGTAATCAGTAGCACTACAAAGGTCATGCATCTTATTCCCCTTCCTGCCTTGGGGACAGGATAGATGAGCCATTTTTAACTTGGGTGCCTGGTATGTCAGAGTAGTGTGCTCTTGCCATAGATCTTCAAACACTGAAAAGAGATAAGTTAAAATACATATTGAACAAACTTGAAGGCTCCTAATACATGTTTTTTATTTACAGTGTCTGTAGTGGAACAAAAAAATAGAAAATGCTCTCAAGAAGAGATTGAAAGAAAAAAACAGGAAGCTCTTGCACGAAGAAAATCCAGAATGCAGGCGTTCTTTAAAGACACTTGAATTTGGAGTTTATTTTGTGTATGGAGTAAGTTTTCGGGGTGGAAATATTGTAATGCTGAAAGACACTTTTTTAACTGTGTTCAAAGCTGCTGGTGGCAAGCTTTTTCTGTTTCTCAGTTTAAAAAAACTTGGCCTGAACCAGAACTAATACTCTGGTGGTATTTAGTCTTAATTAAAAACTACCAGTTTTAGATGTGTAGTCCCAAACTACCTTCAACACAGTGAAGATTGTACTGAGCTCACATACTGTTACATGTTGAAATTGTATAGTCTGAAAATCATCAGAACATGGAAATGCTTGTACACACACTTAAGTAGATGTTGAAACCAGACTTGTATGTGTTTTGGCTGTATTTCTCTTATTGCAAGTATTTTAATCTATAAAAAGACTCTCAAGTACACACAGACTAAGAAATACTAATGTTTGCTCTCAGGTAGAAGAAATTTTAAAAGTTTTGGTTTAAAGAAAGAACAAACTAGAAAACGTCAAACATCAGAAAACTAATGGAAATGAACAGGATTGAAGGTGTGCTCAGTTTGTCTCCATTACCTTAGGTAAGAACTGTAGGTAGTGAAGGAAGAATTTAATACAAAGTTTCATAAGGTGAAAAAGCATCCTGAAAGGACATTTTATATTTATTTTTAATTTTTTTAAAATTCCCTTCATTAAGAGTTGGAAATACCCTAGCTAACAAAATTGGACCACCTTTTTCTAAACATGTGTTACTGAGCTAATTAAAAATAGTAGCCTGTGTCATTTTACCAAAACATGAGTAATATAAAATACACCAGCTGAAATCTCAACAATATGAATCAGTTTAGCCTTATGGGTTGTACGTATTTTTCAAACTAAAGGCTGTTAAAACATAAAAATGCAATGTCATGTCAGCTTAACAGGGGCTGATAGAATTTTTGATGTGATAGATGGGTGCAAAGCTCAATCTGCAAAAACTGCCTGTGGGTAAGCTGTGAGATATTTTTCAACTGGGAAATGCTTATATGTAAGCATGTGACACTATGAAAAGTGACTGTAATTTTTCTTTGTAAATAAATAATTTTGAAATGTATCAAAGATTAGAGGAAGCTTTTGGTTTCTGTAGTATGTGCCATTTTTCTAACTCCTAAAAATGTAAGTATTGTATATTTGTAAATCATCATTAAACTTTTTTACATTTTTCTAGTCTGTTCTGGAAAATACTGTACTAAAGAAACTGGTAAAAGGGAGTGAAACGTAATTCCATAAGGACTTTACCTGAACGTTCTCTCTTAGTAATCTACCCAATTATGCCATGCCTGTTTTCTACCTGTAGTGGTGACATAGTGCTTCCTTTGATCCATTTAAACTAGAAATCCTTGGTAGAAGAAGTGCTTCTACACACAACCCTCTGCAGTGGAGTCCTCAAATACTTAACTAGACTGGTTTTCAGCCTAGTGAATTTGCTTTTGTATTAACCACCATTCTTGGTGCTAGTTGATTATGAAATCAAATCCCCAAGTCCACCAAAGATACCCCATATCTGGTGCCCAATAAGCATTACTTACTACATGTGGCTGCAGCTCTCTGTCCTTTAGCTGTTGTGCAATATATGATCAGTTGGATCAGCTTACTCCTCTGACTGAAAATTAACCCTGGAAAAATGTTTTCAGCTTTTCAAAGAACACTGTAATAATATCCTTGACAGATAATATAACATGAAATAGCAAGACTCTTTGTTGTCTCATCAAGCCTCTGCTAGCAGTGTTCAGTTTCTGAGACAGAAGATTTGCGTGTCCATATGACAAATAAATGTAAACCTCAGATAGCGGCTGTTGTGAAAATTTTATCCTGAGAACGTAGTCTGATCTATGTATTTGAGGGATATGCTTGTCTTTGTGGTGTTCTAGGAAAATCTAAACTATTGGGTAACTTGCCAGGTGCACTATTAGGCAAGAAAGTAGCAATGAAAAAAGGCTTCTACTATCAATATTAAATATGAGAGTTATAAAATGGGCTTTTAAGGTACTGATACACAAGAATGTCAAATCTTATTGAAAAAGATAAAAGTTAGGTTTTTGCTAGGATGGTGTTCAGTTTATCAACCCTTCCCTGCCCAGGGTATTTGTATAGAAAAATTCTGTAAAGGAACCAGGATAATTTTGATAATAGGGTTAATTAGACTTCAGAATTGAGAAGATGAACTAACTGGAAAGGAAGGAACTGTTATGGGTCCTAGAGAATATATTTTGAGGGAGGTTTCATTCTCTGATATGAAGGGACTAACTTCTAATCGGGTTTGCACTTGGGATAAATTGTAGATATATAACATGAAATACAGGCTAAGCACATGATGGCCACCCAGGCTCAGCATACAAAATGATACATCCTGAATGCTTGCCACTATGTGTCCTTGAGCACACTCCAAGTTTAAAACCAGCTTACTGCCCTTCTGAGGTGATGCTGATTTTTCTCAACACCCAGGAGGAAAAGGGCCCTGGAGCTGCCTGCCTAAAATGCCACCACTGGTCTCCCCTTGAGAGCAGGGTAAGAACATGCTGGCTCATCCTCTAACAGGAGCGTCTCACCGACCCCTTTTGTCTGGTCAGCTGTGAAATAAGAGCTCAATGCATGACAAGGGGAATTCTGTTTCCATGAGGGGTGTGGAAAGGACCCTTTGCAAACTTTCCAGTTGGAGGAAGACACAAGCTACTTTTTGACCAATTACTGTCACTTAATTTACCAAATACTTCCTGTGTGCTGCTTAACCATATTTAAAGAATCTGCTGATGAGTGTGAAATTTTGATTTTGACAGTTATTGGCAAATCTATCCATTGTCCTCCCCTATTAAACTTAATCATAACAGAGGGGCTTTGGTTTTTATTGTAGTTTTCATAAATACCTACTTTAAGCATAGATATTACACTTCAAGGCCTGTAATTTGTTTTTTCTTAAACATTACTTTTCAAATAGAAATCACAAGTTCTTGGGACCATGGTTTCTGAATGTTGAGACAAACTACTAAGATTTTTTGGTCACACCCTGGCTATCCCCAAATGCCCTACCATACCATCTCTCAATTAACAAATTGAATAGAGTTACTTCTTTTTGTTACTTGACGCTATTAGAAACAGAGAAACAGTTTCTTGAGTTAAAATTAAACTACTCCTATGCCATTTTTATTAGGCAAATTTGATAAAAGTGAAAAGGATAGAGAAATATTTCAACCCTGTATAGTTTCATGGGTGGAGTCAATGCAGGCAGAAGATTCATTAGGGCATAGAAGCAGTTACAAAGAACAACCTCTACAATATCAAAAATAAAATTCACAAGGTAAGAATTTTCTGTATTTAAAATATATATATTCATATTGTTTGGTCAGAAATATCCAAAAGATTTAGAAGAAATCTAGTGAAAAATAAACTGTCTAGCTATGTATATATGTATGTATCTATCTATCTTAAAAAGAGTACACATCAGCAGGGTGCTGGACACGGACCCAGCCCAGTGGCCAGAGCAGCATACAGAATCACAGAATCATCTTGGTTGGAAAAGACCTTGAAGATCATCCAGTCCAACCATTAACCTCACACTGACAGTTCCCAACTCCACCAGATCCCTCAGCGCTGGGTCAACCCAACTCTTAAACCCCTCCAGGGATGGGGACTTCACCATTGCCCTGGGCAGCCCATACTGATGTTGACAGGGGCACAGACATGAGAAGCTTGGCCTTTGCCTAATTCTCCAACATCTGGACATTAAAGCCAGCAACAGAGCAGTGGTATAGCTAGAGATGGCTTGGTGCCCCCTAACCTGAGGGCATAGGTCAGGCATACAGTCCTGCTGGGTGCTTTTACGGCAGTCGGTGACACAGAGAGGGGTGCCTGAACCACGGTTCCGATGAGCTTAGCCCTACGTCAACAAAAGCAGCTGCCTGCCTAACACATATTTTAGGGATGCAGTAGTGGGCCTAGACAGCTGCTCTGCTGCATGAGGGCAGCCAATGGCTTTGGAGAGCAGGTGAGATGTGCAAAAGCTGCAGCCCTACTCCTTGGTCTCATGTTGCCCTCTCCTCACCACCGAGGAAGGAGTTCGGGCAGCAGCCTCATGACCCCACAGATTTTAGAGGTCATGCTCGGCATCTCATGCTTCCTGGTAAATTCTTGGTGACCCACTGGTACGGCACGTGCCTCAATCATGCAGTCTTTTGTCCGACTGCTTGCAGCAGACAACAGATCTTCCTTAGGAAAGTGTCTACAGCATTTTAATTAATTAATACACATGTACACATAGGAAGTTTGGTATTTCAATAGCTGACATTTCACTATGAAGCCACATCTTCCTCCAGGCAAAAAAGACCTATACAAATAGTAACAACAATCTTAAATACATTCTAAATTAAATTATGACTGTCATGTTTCATTATAAATTAATTTATGACTGTTTGCTTAAGCACTCATCTTCGTTTCGTTCAGAGCATAGTAATTTTTTACATGAGCAGAGCAATCAACGAGTTTAAGTTTAAATGTAAATGGAATTCCTATATGTCCCCATACTTGAGTGTAATTTTTATTCCACAGAACTTGACGTATTTCACTATGAGTGATGGTACTTGCTAAAATCCAAGTATTATCTTTTTCAAGTAAGACTCATGTTGGAGTTTTTTCTTTTAGTAAAGGCAGATATGATCACGTAAATGATCCGTTCATCATTATTCTCCCTATCTATATCTAAAATTATGTATTATGGAATATACATCCATACATTCATACCCTTCCAGTTCATGCTGGTGAGGGATCATGTTTAAAGAGTTTGAGAAATTTAGCAATATTGGGGTTTTATTGTGTTAGTTGTATCAGATTTTCAGAGAGGCGAGCATCCAGCAGCTCTTCAAATTTTGCCCTATAAGGCACAATTAATCTCAGGGCTGCAGTTCAGGAATGGCAATGTAACCTTATAGTATGTGTACCACTTACTACATCTAGACCTTTATACCCAGAGGAATAACATAGATGAATTCATTGATTATATCTTTTTAAGCCTAAAAAGAGCTACAATTTGTCAGGAAAGAATAGCTGGAAGCAACAGATAGTGACCTAAATAGTAGAATTCC